TCTCTTGCGAGTGAGCAGATCGAGATTCTCCGCGCTCAAATCCGCGTACTCCGAACGCGTGATTCTCAGCTTGTCCCTGTTCAGATAGGACGCCAGGGTTTCGATACTCGCCGCTAAAAATTTATACGAGTCCACGAATCGAAGCTTCACGTACCGATCCCATTTTCCGTCCGTCTGCGTCTCCTTAACGGTCTTCGAGAAAAATATGTAACTTTTCTTCGTGAGCGGCAGCAGATCGACCCCGCCCTCGAAATCGTTCGCGATTTTCTCGACGACGAAGTGCGCGTCGTAACCCGACAAATTGTGAAAGAACACGGGAATCACGTAAACGTTTCTGTAATTCAGATTGCAAAGAGAATGCGCCGGACCTCTGTAACGTCCGGTTAGGTGACAGTGATCTCGCACGCGCTTGTCCTCCGGTTGAAACGGTTTCCCGCACAACAATGAGTCGCGAGCAGAAATTCGCTTTTCTCGTCCTCCGTAAGTTCCACCATCGCTATATTGGTGGAAAATTTATTCTTAACGCGACGCGCGAGAACGCGAAGCTCGTTCACGAACCACGAAACGCAATCCTCGCCGCGACGATATCTGTACGCGGACGCGGTATCGTCGTAGGTGCAGCACAGATAGTAGCCCAGGCTGAACGGTACGTGACGCTGATAAGCGTATCTTTCCGTTCTCGGGCCCCCCTCGACGTTTTCCCTCTCCCGTCGTTTGAGAAGACACTTCAGGGCAGCGATCGCCTAAGAATTGGTGAATTTTTTCACTTTTCACTTTCCACAATTCGTAATCTCACGTGAACATTTCCAGTTTTCACATATGCACTGAGAGTGATCGCGTACGTATAAAGTGGAAAAGTGAGATAACTAGAAAAATTCGTAGTTGGAAACCGCGATCCGGCATCGCCATGCAAGCTAAACGAGGCGCATCTTGATACTGCCTATACATAGTCGCCAGGTAAAAGGAATACCTTCACGTCTGTCCTGTAACCTCAAAATATCTTGAAGATATTGAATATTGAACACGATAACCAAGAAGAATATCTTATATATCATATGTTATTGTATCTGGACAATAAGATTGTTGAAATCGCAAGTATGTATTAATACAATTAATTATACTACATTATATTGTATTACTCTATATATTTGTTTATACATATTGTATTATTCGCCATAATTTGTGATAAATATAAATAAATAGAAGTTTTAAACGAATAAGACATTTGTTAGAATAAAATGTGTTATTGGAGTGATAGATAATCTTTTAGTCATAACATAACCCATATCTATATAAATATTACATGATATTAAAAACATATATAATTTTAAAATATCTTCTTCTTAAACTATATATATACTGAAAGTTATAAAAATTGTGTCAAATCCTACGCTGCCTACATAATACAATAATATAGTATATTTAATAATAATATGTAATTAATAATTTAATATAATTTAATTAATTGCTTTAGTATGAATGTCACGTACAAGCAACGGGAAATTCTGCTGGATTCCCTGAAACAGCATCCGGAAATAATAAGAGGTCGAGTTTCAAGAAAGTCTGAGAGCCGGAAAGAATTGGTTATTATATAAATATAATAATTTTGTATATATTTGTATATATATTGGTATTTAATATTAGAAATGATTATATTATACATTGCAGAAAGATATATGGGAGCAAATAACAAATAAGCTAAATAGTTCCGGAGAAGGACCGGTTAAAACAATACAAGAATGGATAAAGGTATACTGATTTGTAAAAGAATACACGAAGAATATTAAAAGCAGTGCATATATTTTTATGTTTTTCCATAGAGTTGGTCAGATTGGAAAATGTACGTTCTTAAGAAAGAAACGAATAGGAGGAGAAATGTACAAGGCACAGGCGGTGGACCTCCAAAAATTGTTAACTTTACTGACCTTGAGACACAACTATTGGAAATTCTTACTCCCGAGGCAGCTGGGTTGGCAAATATACCTCAAGCGGGATTTAAATCAAAGAAGGTAATTGACCACTATGGCCACTCCCTCTACTATAAGGTGTCACATAGCATTATCAAGTCGTGTGATATAAGTAGCTTGAGAAAACCCAGAAGCACTGCTTTTTGCATCCTGCACGCGATGGATTTAGTAATGTTGACAGGCTGAAATGCTCTCGAGATACTTATTACTAATATTATTACTCTTATTAATATTGTTATTTTATTATTGTTATTATTATTAGATATTATTATTATTATTTTTATTCTAAGGGAACTGAGAAACCTCATCCAGAAGTCCCAGAAGTCTTAGAAGTCCCAGAAAGAAGTGTACAAAATGAAATCTTGGATGATTTCGAGGTACTAGACATCGATAAAGTGCCAATTATTTATTGCGACGATGATCTCGGCAATTCCACTACACGTACTCAAAGTGGTTATACATTTGAAGAGGATGAAGATAAAGAAAACGTGAATTGTGAACCAAAAAATAAAAAACGAAAGGCAGGATTACTAGAGAACTCACTTTCTGAAATCGTCAACTGCAGCGATCCATCTAGTACAACTGCCGTGAGCTGTAATAACAGATCTACAAAATATGGATCATCAGATAAAAAGAAGATAAAGGTAGATTGTTCCTACAATGAAACCGAACAGGTGAAGAAGAAAAATGAAAAGCAACCTGTTGCGTTACCAGAAAAAATAAAATCTTTAAACGAAATATCACATTTGATGTTACGCGTTCAAGAAGAGACACTTGAACTGAATCGTCAAGAACTTCAACTGAGAAAAGATGCGCTTAAAACGCAAAAAGGCATTTTAGAAGAACTAAAAGAAATGAAAAAACTTCTGTGTCCCTGAATTGTGAATAGTAAGTATGTGCATACCTCGTTGTTGAGTGAATTGTCTTAATAATTTTAAAAATAACCTCGTAGGGGAAAAAGTCTGAAAATTATCAAAAAATTTATCTGAAAATGTCTTCAAATTGGGACCATTTTGAAAGATCTTGGTCAAAAAAGCTTGAAAAATTTTCAGAGAATTTCAGAGACAGAGAATTTCTAATTTTTCAGAGAATTTCAGACGTTTTTAGAAAGGTGTTTCAAGATTTTAAGATATTTTCAGAGAAATTTTTAGACAATTCTCAGACTTTTTTGTCAGTGTGATTCTATCCCGTTTATATAAGTTTATATAAGCGATGCAGTATGTCGCATGGTTGTATCAGCTCTTAATAAAAAAGAAATGAAGAATAAGAGTCCTCGGTCCCCGTCTGCAATAGGTGTTTTAAGCCTTAAGCCCTAAGAAATTGACCAATCACAGTCGATTATTTTCCTCAAATTCGACTAATTGATCAATTTCTTAAGGCTTAGGGCTTTAAAACACCTATTGTAGACGTGGACTTACCGTATTATTAAGACAATTCCGAATTTATCAACGACAGAATAAACGATAGGTAGTGTACATACATAACATTAATTCTGACATTGTGATATATTCAAGTAGTATCTATTATTTTTTATTTTGTTCTGTCATTAAATATTTTATTTTGTATTATAAATTAGCATAACAATAATTACTATTGATTATTTATGTCAATAAGATTGTTTTTTTTCCTTATGAAATGCTATGAGCAGCGCTATTACAGCTTTCTCAACGAACTGTTGTTAAAAACCAAAGAAAACGTAGACTGTAAGTTCAAATAACTACTAATTATTTAAGACAATAAGATTGTTTATTTTTGTTGTAAGATTTTATGAGCAGCCCAATTACAGCTTTCTCAACAAACCATTATCTTAAAAACCAAAGAAAGCGTAGACTGTAAGTTCATATGACTACTATTTATTTGTGACAATAAGATTGTTCTTTTCGTTCTTTTTTGCGTAAACAAAGTTTATATAACTGTTGATTACAAATTTTTGTAAATGAATAAAAACGCAAATTACATAAAAAAGCGCCGTATTATGTTCTCTCGAACTTCATTTCCTGTACGACGATTAAGCACATCCATGGCATCAATTCCATCGGCATCATGAACTTCAAGGTCGTCGAAATACGGCTCTGGATCTGGGATATTGTACCATTTTGCGACGTTGTGTAGAACACATCCAGCATTAACAATCAGTGCTACATAACAAATATCAGTTTTCTTTATAGTTATATTACCCCTCTTTTAAAAGCATCATGAAACACAAATAGGAATTTTACCTGCAAATTCTGGTTTGTAGTGAAGCGCCCGTACCTTTCGCAAACATCTCCAACGTCCTTTCAGAACGCCTATGCACCGTTCAACTGAACATCGGGCCTTTACATGTGCATTAGTGTAAGCTGCAGATGGTGACCCTGGTATTTGATTTAGCTTAGGAATCATTAAATATGGTAACAGTGGATATCCGGAATCACTTATACATCAAAATATAGCAACAAAATCATATAGAATAACGAAATTGATCTATATAATTTTCATATTGAAGTGTGTACCTTCTCAACATAGAGAATTATACATTTAAAAATGTTCCTCAGAGTATTTGCGCATACCTAACAACCATGTACCCGTCCTGCCATTCCTGTGTTGTTCTTCCAGATGAACGGACACTTCAGAAGCATTCCAAACCCTTGAATCGTGAGTCCGGCCTCCATGGCCTGCATTAACTGCCAAAATCCATAGATTGTAATTACTAATCTAAAATTGAAATTCGGAAGTGTTAATTTTAGTATATTGGACCGATTAGCATAACATTTTATAACTCTGGATGAATCTACTGTAGCTATTTTACGAAACATGATTACACTCACAAGCATAACGTTCAAAGAATGGTAAAGCTTTCTATTCAAATATAAATGCTCCCTGATCGTTTCCGGTGGCCATATCGCTATATGGACTCCATCAACAACACCTATTACTCCAGAAAATTGGCAATTGTCCCAAAATCTTAATGAAAAATATATTATAACAATTAATTACACATATGATATTTAAAAAAAGTTTCTATATTCATCAGAGTGCTACTAATATAAATATTAAAGAATGATCAAAGTACGTATATATTAATAGAGTATGAGAGTAATTAAATATTTTAACTGTCAAACTAACTGCTCTTTAATATGTTGCATTTCATGTGGCTGCGTAGGAAATTTTATCCATTCTCCCATAATTTGGTTCAACCCTTCGACTACTTGGTGAACAACTTTACTAATAGAGGATTGGCACATACATGATAAAAAGTCTTGGCCAATTCTTCTTTGATATGAGCCTGAAACCATGAAGCTTAATGTTGCTAAAACTTTATGATGTAAATAATAAAGATACATATATCTGTGACATAGTAAAAATAAATGACAACAATAATGATATAATAGTAATAATAATAGTACATATTTCTATGTATAAGCACCAAAACCTATCGATCAATTTAATTTTAAATAGAACATATACCATAATATTTACAATTAAATTACACGTTATTTACATATATAATTTATAATTTAAAATAACTATTTATATACATATATACATACCTTCAACTCAAATGGTATCGCTGTTGCTCTCACTTCTTGCTCAACATATGGCCGTAATTGAGCACAAAGTTCCCTCACCGCATCTTTTGATAATCTAAAAATATTATATAAACTTTTTTATGACAATACACATCAAACAATTATATAAACAATAATATTAGTAAAGTGTGTAATGCATATATGTAAAAAATAACCTACATATTAAATTTCAAGTGCATACATACCTGTACAGAAGACGAAATTGCGACTCTTGTATTGTAAAAGGGTCTGATAAATCACGTAAAGTTTTACGTATACGTTGCAATTTCGTTCTTTCTTCGTCTGCTGCAATCAAAACAAACAATGCGGCAGCCATTTTGAGCAAATTAATGTTAGGGACCTCAGAAATTCACTGATATTTCACATTTCCGCAATGTAAGATGCTGCCGAAAAAGTTCACGCGAAAATGTTCACATTTTGGCGCCACGAAAAATTACACGATTGCAAAATGGCCGAGTTCACCCGGAAATGTTCACTTTTCACCATTCCGCCCTAGGGGAAAAGTTACGCGATCGATGCCCAGATCCGCGTACACCACGAAGGGAAGTCGCTCCTTTCTGTCGTAATTGTCGAAAGACAGCCACTTGTCGCTCTCGTTCGGGAGAACGACGGCGCAGTCGTTCATTCGGCCGCAGTCGACGCTGTAGGCGACCAACTTGTCGCGCGTATAGAAATAGTGTAGACATCTGCGAAATAATGTGCGAGCGATTACTGCGTGTATGTAAAAAAAAATAACGCCTCATCTTTTCCTTGTTCCTCGTGTTTTTTTTTTTCATTTCATTTCATTTCTTTTACCTACCGATCGCAAACGTGCTTCGCGCACCGTTTCGCTGTCAATTGCGAATTCACCAATCGCGACAGATTCTTTATCCAGGCGAAATGGCCCCTATTGACGCCGCGCAGCGTATCGCGCAGATACAGCAGATTTACGTGCCTGTCTCGCTTATCGTCGGTCAACCGCAGAGCCACGATCGCGTTGTGGTCGGCGCCCCGGCCGAACTTAGCTTTCTTTTCAATTTCTTCCCGAGTTGTAAACACGTTGATCGATACGTCGTTCTGACGTTCGAATTTTCCGATCTTTTTCAGATTTATGGGAAAATTGATCCCGTCGAGATTCAGCACCGTCGCGTAATCGGGATATGAGCCGCATCGTTCCACGTGCCGCTCGGCGGGGTACAGAGCCGCGACCACCGCGCGCGCGAAACACGCGTCGTTCTCCGACAGCACGTTGACCACCGCTTTTTTAAGTCTTATACGGTATTTTCATCCAACATCCCACGCGCATGAAATTACACTTGTTCACGTTCACGATTAGGTTCAATATTCGCGACAACGCCCATCCGCTGTCGCGTTCTTGAAATTCTTCCAACCGCGTTAGAATCGCGTCGCGCACGTGTACCACTCGCTCAGATCGGAACCTGGGAGAAGCTGTTCGTTCCGCGTAACGATACTCTTCACGTCGGTTTTAACGTCCGCTACGAATTCCCCGTTGAATATGACGTTGACCTTCAGACACCCGTGTTCGGTCATATTATCCCGCACCTTTTCAAGCCGGCACCTACGGCGCGTTCGAATCGTCGACGCAGATCCTCCCTCGAACTTTTAAATCGCGTTATCAGAGCCACCAGAGCGCTCACGGCTCCCGTGTTTCCTCGCTTCCCGGAGCGTTTGACTCGACACTGCTCCCGCAGGAGTAGAAGACACTCGTTGCATCGCCGTCTCCACGCGCGGTACCCGTCCGCGTCGCGGACGTCCGCGGCGAGCAACTCGTCGCACTCTTTCCGCATCGCGTCCAGAAAGGTTCACCCTCGGGAACGTTGAACTTCACTCGGTCGAAAAGACGACGAGACCGGGTGGTTTGAATCCTATGTATCCTGCTCTCTCCTCCGTACACCGTCTCGTAATAGAGATAATACTTGAGCGGCAGGCGACGCGTATAATCGCTCGCCCTGACGGAGTTCGCCACCGTCGTCTCTATCCACTTTTGCTCGCGATCGGTTCGCGCTCCGATTTCCCTTCGCAGATGATGGGTAGCCAGATTCCATCGCGCGTCCTCCTTCGCCACCGACGCGCGCGCACTCGACAACGGTGCTTCGACTCTCGCCGATTCGTCGTCCGAATCGGACGAAAACTTAGGCATGGGCTCGCGACAGCGCCATTCGTCGTCCGATTTCTCGGACGACGGATAACGGCGATCGTTCATTCGAGAGTACGTATCGCTAATGCTACATATGCACCTCTAACGCGTCAAAATCAAGCTGCATATCTCCATCTGCAGTCCGCCATGTAAATGTTTCAGCGTAATCATGAATATCGAGAAACCTCCGCTGAGATCGGAGATCGGCGATTCCGATTTCGCGACGAATCAGATATCTCGTTACGTCGACGCGTCGCGGATGCCTATTCCTCACGAACGGATCCCTATTTCTTACGAGCGGTTCGCTGATTTTCACGATCGGTTTCCTGATTTTAAGATCGAACGTTGGTTTGCAAAGTTCTGCGTACTCGTCGCTCATATTTTTTTACAAATATATTGTATTAACTCTCCACCGCGCTCTAGAATCCTCGTAGAAAATAACCGTTTGCCGCGCCGTTCGCGCGCCCGTTCAATTTATACCCCCCGTTCGTCGTTTCAACGGAAGACGTACCCCCTGCCGGACGCGCTTTTTCCCGGAATGACGACAACCGCTCGCGGCATCCTCCGACGAAAAATAAAAGAAAAACAAAAGGAGGAAATGACGAGAGCGACCGCGACGCTGAATTCGAACGCGCGTTGAATAAAAATTATCGCGAATCGTACGAATCGATCGAACGAAGAGACGAGTCATCTCCCTCGATCTCGATACGTCGCGTCGGGATGGGCAGGAAAACCGCAAAACAATAGGAGGAAAACCACAAAACAAAACAAAAAGAAGAAACGACGAGAGCGACCGTGAACGAGTTCGAACGCGCGTTAAAAAAATTATCACGAATCGATCGAACGATGAGACGAGTCATCTCCATCGTTCTCGATAAGTCGGGATGGGCAGGAAAACCACATCCTACCCGTCGCGACGCGGATCGAAACAACCTTCGGACCGAGAGTTAAAAAAAACGACGACGAAAACGGGAGCGCGAGACCCCCCGCGAAACGAACCACCTAGAACGCGTCGTTCTCCCTCCCACCCCCGAAACGTCCAGACGAGCGACCTCGAACGAGTTCGAACGAGTTCGGACGCGCCCGAACGCGCGCGCGACCGACGACGAAGAAAAAAAAAAAAAAAAAAATATTGGCCCGCAATTCTCCAAAACGGTCGGTAACAGCGCGAGCGCCGCTCCGAGCGCCCCCTCGAAAAACGCCCAAATCCCCGCAACGAGCCCCCGTTGGCGGCCCTGCCCCGCGCCGAACCCCCGTTGGCTGCCCTGCCACACCCAACCTTACGTCAAATGTTCCCCTCGCGTCGCGCTCCCCCTC